GAAAGTGTATATAGGAGAACATATACCAGATAATATAGATTGATGGCGGTCTACTATTGGGAGTGAGCTAATTCAGCTTAACCAAGAGAGAGAGAGTCCTCGATCTCACCCAAGAGGAAGTTCCCTGAAGTCTGATCCCAAAGCATTCTTTGGGACTGGTAGCCAGGAATATCAATACCTGGAAGTCATGACTGGCCTTCTGACCCAGGAGAAACTGGGTGGTAAGGCTTCCTTTCCTGTTCTGTAGTTCCACGTGACCTTGCCACACTGATAGCCATCTGTTCCCCTTCTGGCTTGGCTATCACACACAATCTGACTGACCTGTGAAAGGTTTAGTGTTCTGTAGTAGTAAGGGAAAAGCAGACATCAGCTGAAATGGCTACGATGTCTTACAGGAAGACCCTACTAGAGGGTACAGTTCTTAAATGACACTGAGCACATTCACAATGGTCACTCCTTGCTGAATGGTCCTAGACAGTTTACTCTCTAATCTTCCAGGGGTGGGGGGTTGGTTGCCAAGCAGCCACCATCTCCAGAAATATCACCAAAAGCACTAGCAGAGGCACTGAGGCCAGTCCTGGCTCACATTCTTCTGCACTGCTGATGCTCGGTTTCAATGAGATTACTCCATTGCAGTCCAGCCCAAGTGTTCTAACTCTTCTGGGCTGTGCCTGACTCAGGTCAACCCCTTGGTAGTTTAGGTTCAATATTGGAATTAAATGAGACATTCAACAATTAACAAAGGCAGATTTACTTAGCCATAGCTGGGTGAAGATATTCAACAAGGGTGGGTATCAGGACACTGAAAGCTGATTTCACTGAGTGACATTCCTCTGCCTCTGAGTCTCCCACAGTGGTTTTCCAGTCAAACCTCAGAGAATAATTGGAGCTCTTCCTGGTTGTTTCATGCTCAGGGGACGAGGAAGTGAGGTCAACAGCCTGAACCTTTGGGCTCTGCCACCTATGTGATCTTGGGCATTTACTAGCCTTTCGCAGCCTCATTTTTTTCATCTGTAAAATGTACTAGATAACCTTTAAGGTCCCTTTTAAGTCTATGAGTCCTATTGAATTAGATCTCAGGATCACAGAATGAAAGGAGGCTGCAGCTACAGCTTCCTCCTAGGTCATTCTAAGCCAATAGTTAGGCACCCCTAAGGGCTCCCTTTGTCCTGTCTCTAACACCCCTTCCCCAAGTGCATCCAAGTTCTTCAGCCTTTGAGAGGAAGAGAAACTGAGATTGTTTTCTCCACTTGGCCAATCACTGAGTTAATCACTTCCTTTAATGTTGAAGACAGGGAAGACTGGAGTTGAGTGGGAAGGTCCTGAAGTTTTAATTGAATTACCTGGATTTGTATTAGCACTTGGTCTTGGAGGTGTTTTTCCATGCTTTAAAGGAGAGGATCATTTGGGAGCTTATGTTTTTCCCCACACCTACCTCATGAGGTTGTTGTAAAGATGACTGAGGTAATATTTGTAAAGTGCTTAGCACAGTACCTAGCACACAGTAGGTGCTCCTGCTTGTTTCCTGCCTCCCTTCCATGCTCAGTATATGTTTCAAGGCCACCAGTTCTTGGTTGAGCACAAAAGAAGAAAGAGGCAGTGATTGAGATAAGAGCTGAGATTCCTCTGCAAGCAACCTTGATCCATGGATCTTTCCCAGAACACAGAGTGACCATGAGGATAAGAGCCTTGGTATTTGTTACAAATGTGGTTATGTGGGGTGAGCATAAAAGGAGCTGGAAACTCTGGGGTTCACTGCTTTGTCTAGGGAAGCATTCCATGTCAAGCCTGAGGGACTCTGAGAATCCCAGTCATGACAGCGGGTGATGAGGTAGGGTAAGGTGAATGGAAAAGAGGAAGGGAAAGCACAGTGTTGAGGGATTAATGTGATTGAAGAGAAAGTTGTGTTAATAAGTAGTGATGAATGTTGCTGAGATTCAGTAACTCCCTTAGAACTGCCCCAGTATCATACCCTCCTACCTTTGCAGTTTAGCCTTTGCAATAGAGGAAAGTGTTTAAAGAGATGTCACCTGGGACTTGGCTCAATTCTAGAAGCTGAAGGCTTGGAAGGCAAATGAAGAAACGAATGGTGAGAAAGCTGAAAGGGCTCTTTGGAGCTAGAGACACAGTAGGGGCCCCCAAGGAGTGGAGCTGTTCAGGAGAGCTGAGCCATGTGAGTGGGTCAGGTTGAATGTTCTGTGTGAAATGGTTCAAAGGAAACCAGTGGAGCAGCAAAGTGTTTTTGTTTATTTGTTTTGCTTTTGTTTTGTTTTGAAGTTAAAATTTCAGTGGGAGCATTCTGTGGAGGAGAAACATAGGGACTGGATCTGTCTGTGCAGTCTCTGGTAAAACATGACTGACATCTCAAGTGCAAGGGAAGTAGCAACACATAATAGCAGAGTAGAAAAACACCAGACTTGACATTAGAAGCCACTGGTTTGACTTCTTACTCTCCCAAGGATGTACTACATATAACTTTGGAGTTTATCTCTCTAGTAATCAGTAATATGTACTTCACCTGACTCATGGGGTTATTGCACAACTGAAATGATATTAATGATTGTGAAAAACCTCTGTAACCATGAATACCAATGACTGTTTTGATGATGCCATAAGTCCCGTGACACTAATGCCTTTGCAAATGCTAAGAATAGGATAGCAATAACAACAATAATGTAGATATTGCATGGTAACGTTGTATTTCCCTTGGAGAGCAAAGGAGCAAAGAGTATTTGTGGGTGGAGTCAGGGGACATGTTTGCTGTGGTTTCTATGGAATTCTCAGTGGCCAGGATGTTCTGAGGGGAAATGTACCTTATGAGTGGCAATGTACCCTAAAATAATCCTCCCCTTTTTCATCCTTAAGTCTGAAGTAGATTTAGGCAAAATTTTCTAGTCCCCAAATCCTATAATGTAGAAATGGAGAGGAAGGGAAGTCTGGCAGATAAGCTATCCCTTAGTGAAGGGTAGCAGGAGAAGAGAATCACAGATAGGTCTGATTTCTTGGAATAGTTAGGTGATGAGGGACATTAGTGATCATGGAAGTAAGATGGTCCAATAGAGGGTAGAGAATACCAGGAAAGAACCCCCAGAACCACTGCCCGGGGCTGCTCTGAATTATCTTTGAGAGCAAAGAACTAGGCTTCTGCCCACTGTGGCTTAGCTGAAAGAATCAGGTTGCCCTGACCATAAGGTAAAGTCAGCTTCTTTCCAATTCTTTAGGAGACATCATGTAGTCAGGAAGCTGTTCTGAATCCTGGATCTGCAAATCACTCATTTGGTGGTCTTGGGGAAGCTACCTCACTCTCTGTTCTCAGCATCGTTATCTACCAAGTGCTGACACTTCATAAGGCTTTTGTGAGGATAAAATGATATTAAGGTGTATGGAAGCCTTTAAAAAAAAACAAAAGCAGAAAGCAACATACAAATATTAGGGATGAATATTATTTGGACATGGGTCAGTACTGGTCCTGGGCTCTAGAGGAGATGCATTCCATCATTGGTGACCAGAGTGGTTCTGCATCAACCCCACTTCCAAGGCTCCTGCCTGAAAGATGAAAGCTTCAGGAGACATTCAGCTGCCTGTTTAGTATGTGCTCCATGATATTCCCAAGGGGCCTTGGGTTAATCCAACAGAAATGTTTCACCCTTTTGTTCTCAAGTTCCTGCCATAGTCTAGAACTATCCTACAGCATCAACTGCAGATTCTGTGTGTACATAAGCATATGCCTGTGTATATGTAGAAAAAGAGAAAGATCTCAGTGTTATATATGCTTGTGTAATACAGAACATTATTTTGCCATTTAGGTAGTAGGGTCCTTTAAGCCATGGAAAGCAAAAGTTGGTGCTTAATCATGCCCCAGACCTCTTTCCTCCTAAATCTAAACAATAGTGAAATGTACTCTCGCATAGCTCAGCATAGCCCGTACCTCCAGTGCAAATGGATAAGAAAGCTTGTAATATAATTGCTTTAGATAATTATGTTTATACCAGAGACCAGGACACCTGGTCTGGTTTGTGTGATCTCTGATCTGTAATAATGGGGTGCTCGGGTGCTTGTACTTGTACTTGTGCCCCAATTTCTCCCTCGTCTCAGAAACACTGTCTCCAACAACCACTCTGCAGCCCAAGGAAACTGTGCCTAGCAGTTATTCATGCATGGGCCTCAGTAGGACCCTTATCTCTCTCCCTGGTACAGCTACAGAGAAGTGGGCTGCTCAGGCCCCACCCTCAGATCAGGTCTCTGGTAGCTTCCCAATTCCTCAGTAAGTTCCTGTGTTGTGAGAAAGCTTTCCCTTGTTGCAGAGCATTCTCTCATCAAGACAGAGGGAGAGGGGTGTCCTTGACCAGCCCAAGAACTCTTCCTCTTGCCAGACTTCAAAGATCCATCCCCCTCCCTGTCCTGTATACTCCCTGTACTTTCCCATCCATAGCCCCCATAGACACCTGCATCTTTGGATTACCTCATCAGTGTTCCTTGCATTTCTTTCCCATGCTCTTTTCTATAGAAACCCGAGCTTGACCCCTGATGGGGGCTGCTTGATTTGGATGTGCATACCCCTGGCAGCCGCGTGCTAATAAATCCACATCTTAAATTACATCTGGATCTCACTCGCTGATTTCTCGGTACAACACTTGCATACGTGAATTCTCTGTTTTACTGAAACTGAGTGGGCAGAAAAGTTCCACCCTGGGAGAATCAACCCCTAAGTGTCAGAACTCAGCAATGACCACAATGATGTCTTTACTAAAGTGCTTTCTCTTCCCTCTTCCCTCCTCCCTCTTTCCTCTTCCATTCCCCTCTTCTCTCCCCTCTGTGCATGCAGTGAGAAGCACTGGTGAGCTGCTAAGTGAGCAGCTTGGGATATCAATAAGGAGAACACCACAGTAGTAAGAAACAATACTACTACTACTACTAATAATAATAATAATAAATATATATTAAATTTGCATAGCACATAATGGTTTACAAAACAGTTTGTACACATAATCTCATATCAACAAAGCCCAGGTCTGTGTTCTTCCACTCACTAAGTGAGGATCTGGCACTTCTTTCCTTGGCACTATTTACAAATGGTGTTATTCTTGTCTCCATTCAGGGTTCCACCTACAGGTTTTCTTCACTTTGAGGTTTCTTCACCACCTGAGGCCTTTGGATCTGGATCTAGAAAGAGAAGGCATCTATGTGGGTGCTAGGCTACTGGAAGTTGTTGAGGCTAGAGAGAGATAAAGGCAGCAGAGATGCTAGAGATTAGGGAAGATTCCTCACATTGATCCTGGGGTGGCCATTGATATAATGCTGAGATCTGAACCAGTGAAATAATCATATTTGTCTCAGAATAATTTGGTATGTTTCACCTATCTACCTAACTGGATATCAGAATTTCCTTGTCATGGTTCTTTTTTTCATTTAATCTTAACCCATGGGCCACCCCAGTAAGACAGAAAGTATGTTGTTTGCTTTCTTCCAGATGTTTTCCACCCCACCCCACCCCTATTTATCCCCCAGGTTAAATTATATACAATAAATGACGAAAGCAACCTTGGAGAGACAGATACCTCTTGGCGAGGCCAAGATACAACCTGAAGAGATTTGCATATAGATATGGGGATATAGGGAGAGGGCAGTCCTACCTCTTAATCTTGGTGATAGGAGAGAATAGTGAGATAATGATGTGCATCAGATCTTGGGGCACCAAATGTGGGAGCCACCTTCTCTCCAACAATTGCCTTTTTTTGGGGGGGTGGGCAAGGCAGTTGGGGTTACGTAACTTGCCCAAGGTCACACAGATGGTAATTGTCAAGTGTCAGGTCTGCGACTGGATTTGAACTCAGATCCTCCTGACTCTAGGCCCAGTGCTCTCTCCACTAGCTATCCCAACAATTGCCTTTTTTGAGTAATTGTCAAATGGCAGAATCATGGAGGTCCCTTAGTGCTCAGGGCATAGAGTTACTGCCCCAATTTACTAAAGCCTAGGGACAGTTCTGCATTTCCTGAAAAGTCTGTGTCAGGGAATTTGGGGCTAGAGAAATGTTCCTCCTTACCTTCTTTTCAGAGTCAATGTGATCTAAGGAGGGCTGGAAATTACTGTAGATGGAATCCATGTAAAGGGAATCTTCTTGTTATAGAGGGAGGGAGAACAGAGAGGAAGGTGGCATAGTTGGGAAGTTAGACTTTTTTTTCATATTTTCTCTCCCCCATCCTGCCCAGTCTTTTGCGCTGCCACTTTCTTGCTGTCATTATAGTCTTGAAAGCTGTGTGGGGCCCAGAGTTTTAGAACTGGGAACTGCCTTTCCTCCCTCAGAGTCTTCTGACATTCCTTACAAATGCCTCCCTCTAGCCACTAAGAACCCAAAGAAGGCTGCTGTACCTTCACAGATGTCAAAGCCTGTATTCTGAAAGCTCCCAGGAGCTGGTCCTCCATCCTCTTCATGCCATTTATACACTTGATCCAGCCTGGCCTTCTGCCTGTTGACAAAAATGCCAGAGTGACCCCCACCCCTATCTGAACTGAGGGCTCAGCACAATGCCCATAACATTCAGACAAGCTACATTTTGGGGAGTTGGCCTGAAGAGCATCCAGTCTAGCTGTGACTTCCTTCAGATCATCTTTCCTCCCAACCCTCAATGGCCATCCTAAAGATATGAAGAATTACAAGGCCAAAGATTACACTCTGGAATGTAAGAAGTAGAGGAAGAGATGGCTCACCTTTGGATCTTCCTCCGGGACATGTACATGAAGACAGAGAGGGCAACAATGGTGAGCACTAGCACTGCCCCTAAGTGCCCACTAACCCATACACCAGGTTCTTACTGGTGCTGAAGTCACAGGTTTCTCCCCAGTACCAGTGTGTATCTGTTGTGAAACAGCTGTTGAATGATAGTAAAGGTAGGAGAGAAAGAAGATTTCAGTCAAGATCATGGACACTTTCTTCTAACTCTACCCAACCTCCAGCACTGGCCCTTTGATCCCATGGAGAAAGGACTGTGAAGAGGGTAAAGATGTGTGCAGGTTGTAGGAACTAGGATATAGGAGATAGGGGTCTGGTCAAGGGGCCCCAGGAGAAGGAAATGTGAGCTGGATGGGGATGTAGTCCAGCTTCAAGGAAAATGGGCCTAGAACTATCTGGGACCTATGATTTTGTGTGTTAGGGTATGACTACTTGTGATACAGGAGGGTTCCAAAGCTAATGCAGTAGTTTACAGCTTAACCCAATGCACAGGACTTATTGATCATAAAGATGAGAAAAGAGGCTTAGACAGGTTAAATGTGTACTCAGAGCCACTCAAAAAGGTCATAGTAGACTCAAAACTGAATTCGTATAATCTAATTCCAGCTCCAGGGTATTTCTGCATGCACATGGATGCCCAAAATGAGGGAGAGCACTTAGAAATGACCGGACACCTTAGAGGCATTGCTTGGCCTCCAAGAGGTGTCATGTGATTCTCTTGCCCTCCCTCTTGTAAACACAATCAGGTCAGCAACCACAGTATAAAGGCCAGTTTTGGAATACTAACCTAGAAGTTCTGTGTACTTTTGACTTAATCTGTCTACAAGTCTATAGTCTATAAGCAACCTCAGAATGGGAGAGAAGCTAGTGCCTTCATAATGATTATCCACCTCTGCTTCCCCAGGTCAGGTATGCTGCCCCGTGAGTGTTGTAACAGTGTTTCCTGTTCCCAGAGTTTGTTCCCTGTCAGCTCCATGTGCAAGGGTGAGGGTAGGGAATTGCTCCAACTGAAGTGTACCCATAGTCCTCATCACATGTTAAGAATTCATCACTAATCACTCTTTCAACCTCTAACTCATCTTCAGATACCCCAGCACAATGTATCCAGACAAAACTCTATTTTCATTTTTCCCATGTATCTACCACCACATGAGGGACACCCTCCCCAACCCTCTACATCAATCCTGCTCTTCCCCTCTTCAAATCTGCTCAGTGCTCCTTCCCTTCCCAGAAGTCTTCTTCAGTTACACATGCTAGTCCTTCCATTGACTTGCCCCCTGCCTGGGGTCTTTTCAGGAAGGATGTGGTCAGGGGCATTGTGACCTCAAATAAGATAATGGATATAGAGCACTTCACAAATCCGGAAGCACTATCTAAATGCCTTCATATTAGTATTGGTCTCCAGGCTGGTGATGCCTTCTTTCCCTGAGCCTTCTACTACCCTCTTGCTGAGTTCAAACAGTGTTTATAGAGCAATACTAAAGTGCACTGGGAAATGAGTTCAACAACTTGGCTCTCTGAGGGGAAAAGTATGCGCACACACACACTTAAGTTAAATCTGCATTATTAGCACCTTCTTCAGTCTAGAGAACCCACAAAACAAGAAATCAAGCCCTGATTTGTATGTAGCTTTGCCATTTCTGAGGTATGATTGTTCACACTGAAAACTGAAGCACGTTAAACCAGTTTGAGCTGGCTCCTGGCACACCCCTGGCAGCAACTGATAATTTCTTTGCTTTTATGTTAGGATGATTTGTGTTTCGTGCTTTTTTCTTCTTTGTGTGGGTGTGTGCTCTTTCACATTTGGATGGTGGCTACCATATTCCTTCCATTCAGACTGGGAGCTCTCCAAGAGCTGTCCAAGAGAGTGAACATGGTTTCCTTTGTCAGCTCCGTGATGGCAAGGGGCAAGTCAGGATGCTAGGCAGTGAGAGGGCACTCTTACCAGTAAGAGGCTAGGATTGTTATAGATGTGACCACAGGGTTTAAGCCTGCCTAGATCAAGACCTGCTCCTCTGGAGGGATAGGGGGAAATGTGGTTCAGGGATGCAGTCCGGGGAGGGCCCAGATGAGCCTAGGAAAAGGAAGGAGGCTATTAGGAGGGCCTGGGAACTCACAAGCATCGAGGCCCTATCCGAGACCCACTCTGCTGGAACAGACACTTTCCCTGGTTGCAGTCCAGTGATGAGTTGAAGCCTTGCATGCATCTGTTAATACACTCTGGTGTTTCGTCCTTGTAGTCAATGTAGAAGAATTCCTTAAATTCTCCAGCAGTCTCTTGGCATTCCACTAAGGGAGAAAGTCAAGGGAATAAATAGTACAAAGGAAGAACTCTTCACCCAGGGTGGGCTCCAGAGCTTACCCCAACCCCTGCCCCACTTCTGCTTTAGGTTTACGTACCCAGAGGATCATAGGAAACTATAAGCTCATCCACTGATGTCTCGTTGGGGTTGAAACATAATATTTCTGTGAAAGAGTAAAACCAAGAGTAAATCTCCCCTTGTCTCAGGGCTTTTCTGTTGAAGGCTTCCTCTCCAAGAGTGGGGGACAAGGAAACCCTTTAGGAGGTGAGGAGCAGAGGGAATACTTACTTTCTACCTTTGTTCTTCAGAATGGAGACCCCCAGGCTTCAGATACCCAGCCCTTTGAAATTCTTTCCTTCCCTGAATTTTTTCCCATTTCCATTTCCATTTCCAGTTGTGCTCACAGGCATTTTTTCCTGCTTTGTGAGCTCCACCAGCCTTTTTCCACAAGCCCACCTGCATCGTGGCACTGTGGCTACTGAGAGTCTCCTGCAAGAGCTGGTTTTCTGATAGTTGGGCTATAATATCTCTGAATCTACACCTTTTCTTTATCTTAAAGGGAACTTAGCATAGGGTTTTGGGCCTCAAGTTAGGAAGTCCTGGGTTTAACTTTTGACTCAGACGCTTACTAGCTGTCTGATCCTGGGCAAGTCACTCTCTGCCTCAGTTTCCTCATCTGTAAAGTGGGGGTAATGATAGCACCTGCCTCCCAGGGTTATTGTGAGGATCAAATGAAATATTTGCAATGTGCTTAGCACAGTGCGTGGCATATAATAGGTGCTTAATAAATGCTTGTTCCTTCCTTCCCACATTTCTGATTGTCATTTCCTCAAAGTAGGTGAGCCCCGATTTGGGTATAAGGACTCTCCATTTGGGACTTTATCTGCTTTGGGTTCTGTCCTCTTACCCCTTCTCCCTCAGATGAGAGAGAGAAAGGCAGGGTCATGGAAAAGTGATAGTTTGAGACAAAGAGCTCCCTGCAAGGTCTCTTCCTTCCTTCTGTCTCAGGAGATTCAATATAATTTAACAGACATTTATTAATTGCCTACTGTGTACAAAAGGATAGATGATATGGTAGAAAGGCTAAAGGACTGAGGTGGGAGTTAGGAAGACCTGGGTTCAAATCCAGCCATACTTGATGTGAGGCCGCAAGCAAGTCACTTAACTTCTCAGTGGCCGAGGCAAGTCTAAGACTTTATCACAAAGGAGATGAGAATCTGTATTGGTGGAGTTAGGTTCCACACTGGGAGTTCCCTGACACTGATGAAATCCTAGGTCTGCACCCAAAAGAAAATGGGAAGAACATTTAGCTGAGTTCCTGGGGAAGATGCCGCCCTCCTAGAATTTACAGTGGTAGAAAAATAAAAACACAGAGAAATAGCAAACACTTAATTTGATAGCCCATTATTAGAGAGGCCTTATGTCTTTAAGGCCTGAGGTGGGGGGTAGGAGGGGGAGAGGTAGTTAGGAACAAGGAACCCAAGGGCAGGTTTTCCAAGGGAAGTGGCTTTTGAGTTGGCTTTTAAAGGAGGGGTAAAAATTCACTAAATACAAAGGAAGAAGATCAAGGAGAAAATATTACTAGCAGCCAGAAGGAAATAATTCAAGTATTGTGGAAACACAATCAGGATAACACAAGATTTAGCAGCTTCTATATTAAGGGACGTGAGGGTTTGGAATATGATATTCCAGAGGGCAAAGAAGATAGGATTACAACCAAGAATCACCTACTCAGCAAAACTGAGTATAATCATTCAGGGGAGAAAATGGACATTCTGTGAAATAGAGGACTTTCAAACATTCTTGATGAAAAGACCAGAGTTGAATAGAAAATTTGACTTTCAAATACAAGATTCAAGAGAAGCATAAAGAGGTAAACAGGAAATAGAAATCCTAATTCCTTAAATTTTTCAGCAGTCTCTTGGCATTCCACTAAAGGAGAAGGTCAAGGAAATAAATAGTTTTTATTTCTACATGGAAAGATGATATTTGCAATTCATGAGACATTTGTCAGTATTAGGGTAGTTGGAGGGAAAAAAATTATATGTATATATAGATAGATAGATAGACAGACAGATAAATAGAGGGCACAGGGTGAGTTGAAGATGATGGGGTGGCATCTGGAGCATAAAATTAAGGGGTGAGAGAGGATTATACTAGAGAAGGAGAAAGGGAGAGGTAGAATTGGGTAAATTATCTCACATAAAACAGACAAGAAAAGGCTTTTCTAGTGGAGGGAATGGCAACAGTGAGAGGGAATGAGTGAATTTTATTCTCATCAGATTTGGCTTAATGAGGGAGTAACATACACACTCAGATGGGTAGTGAAATCTGTGTTACCGTACAGGAAAATAGGGGGGAAAGGGACAAGATTGCAGAAGGATGATAGAGGGGAGGGCAGATTGGGGAGGGGGTAATCAGAAACAAATACATCTAAGGAAGGACAGGGTCAAAAGAGAGAATAGAATAAATGGGGGGGTAGGATAGGATGAAGGGAAATATAGTTTTCCACAGCATGACTATTGTGGAACTATTTTGCATGACTACACATGTATAACCTGTATAGAGTTGCTTGCCTTCTCAATGACAGTGAGTGGGGAGGGAGGAAGGGAGAAAATATGGAACCCTAAGTTTTAAAAACAAATGTTTAAAAATTGTTTTCACATGCAACCAGGAAATAAGATATATAGGCAATGGGGTATAGAAATCTATCCTGCCATACAGGAAAATAGAAGGGGAAGGCGATAAGAGAAGGTAGGGGAGATAGGAGGGAGGTCATATAGGGGAAGGGGTATTCAGAATGCACACTGTCTTGGGGTTAGGGGAGGAACGAGATGGGGAGAAAATCTGGAACTCAAAATCTGGTGGAAGTGAATGTTGAAAACCAAAAATAAATAAATTAATAGAGAAAAAAATCCAAAGGGAGGGGCAAGGCATCACAGACACAGGGACTGACCCAGGGGGAACAATGACAAGTATAGAGGCAGTGCGTGCATCATATAAGTGGGGGGGGGGTAATAAGAGAAAAAGTTGAGCAGTGGTGAGATGGGGCACTTACCTGTGCATCCTTTGTCTCCTTCCTCAATGATTACTGTTTTAATTGTTTCCTCTACCTTCTTCGCACTAGTCTCCAATTCTGTCATGTAATCTGGGGTGAAACTTGTTGACAGGATCACATTATACTCCACCAGTATACTGCCATTTCTGAGAAAAGAAGAAACAAGGTTATCTCATCATCTTCTAAATGCCTGAGTGGGGTTGGTAACCAGGCCAACCTAACAACCACATTGAATGTCTACTCTTAACTAGACCCTCTTCCCTCTAGAGGAAACTCCCTTCATGGAGATAGGGGACAACCTGGAACATCCTTTATCCAGGTGTCATTCAGAATTCAGACTCATAGCCACACCTTCCTTAGCCTTCCTCATCCTCCACTCCTCATTCTCACTTACCCCAGTTGCCAAATGTTGTTTCTTTTTCTCCAGCATCTCTTTGGTATACCCCCTTCACTCTCGTAATACAGCCACGGCCTGAGCTCAGACCTTTATCACCTCTAGCCTAGACTATTGCAATAGCCTTCTAACTGGTCTCCTTGCTTCACATCTCTCCCCATTCCAATCCATCCTCCACAGAACTGTCAGAATGATTTGCCTAAAATAAAATTCTGACCATGTCACCACCCTACTCGATAAACTCTAGTGACTCTATTTAACCCAAGAATGAAATAATGAATTCCTGTTTGGCATTTAAAGGTCATTACAACCTGATCCTTCCTATCTTTCTAGTCTTCTTACACGTTGCTTATACTTTTTACATCATGTATATGAATGTACGTGAACTGCACATTCCAACCATGTACAGGCCTTCTTGCTGTTCCTTAAGCACACACTCCATCTCCCATGAATAGGACTTTGCTCTGCTGTCCCTGGTGCCTGGAATGCTCCTCTGCTTCATCTCTTCCTCTTAGAATCCCTGTTTTCCTTCAAAACTGAAACACTACGTTCTGTTGGAGGCATCCCCTGGTCTCCCTTCTCTCTCATGCATCTTCTGCTGCTAGTGATTTCTTCTCCAAGGTTACCTTGGTCTACTCTTACATTTATCTTAGATTTACGTATTGCTCTAGATGTTGTAGAAGCCCACGAGAAGGCAGGGGCTGTTGTGCTTTTTCTTTGTATTCTCAGCAAGCACAGTGTGGTCTTGTTCACTGATTGATTCATCCTTGAAGGATGTTGAGGTGAGGAAGGCGAATACTCCAGACTAATAGGGCACCCATAACCATCTAACTTCCCACCCTACATGCCTCTGCTTCCCCAAAGATGGAAAAGGACTTACGAAAGCTTCTTGATCTCCACACCAGAATAGTGAGAGATGTTTTGGAAAATGGTATCCATCTGAAAGGCAAAGAGGTCACTGGGTTATCTAAATAGTCAAAATCATGGTATTCTTTAGCCCCACTCCCTTTCTGTCACTCCCCCTCTCTAAAATAGCCCTTCCTCTTAGCAGAGGCCTATGAGAATCAACCTGTGTGAAAGTAGACTCTGGATGGAAAGTGTTTAAAGCACAGAAGGACCATAGAGGACATATGAGAGCAATGTCTCCATGGAAGGGTTAGGCAGATGCTGCCATTACCTAACCTAATGTCCTCCCTTTATTCTTGTGATGTCCCTGAGTTCAGCTGACCTCCTCAAGGGCTACCACCTGTGTGTTTCAAGAATGGAGCTCCCAGAGCCAGCAGTGGGGAGGCCTGGAAAGGATGAGTGAGTCAGGAAAACCGAAACAAGCCAGGACTAGTTTGCTATTCCACTGTCCACTGATTCCTTCATGAGGTGAGAATCCAGGTCTCTTCCAGAAGAGGAATACACTCCAGCTCCATCCCAATTACAATTCATGTTGTCCAACATCAGCTAGGCTCTCCTGCAGCAAGCAGTTGTTCCCCCCCATAATTAATTTCGTATCTTATTTTCCACAGAAGCTTTTCCAAACCTTTCCTTCCCTCCTTAAGTCTCGCACATGTACCCCTCTCTTAATCACTCTTAGCTGAGTCTTTATTGAGAAAATGTGAGCTTTCTCTTTTCCCTTGATCTTCATCTGAAAAGTGGACATCACCTCCCACTCTCTCCTCCTTTCTCCATATTCTCTGACACAGAAGTGGCCTTTCTGCCTGCCAAGGCCAAGTTCTCTCCTTGTGTACCTGATCCCATCACCTCTCAGTTTCTCCAGTAAATTATGTCCTCAATCATCTATCTCCTCACTCTCTCACAAATCTCCAACCTCTCTTTATCTACTGATTTCTCTCTCTTTTTTTAAACAAAAAATAACCTTCACTAGACTCTACTGTTTCCTCAAACTGCCTTCTTAGAATTCTCTTCCCTTTCTCAACCTCCTTCAAAAATTTTTTACACCTGCTGAGTCCTCACTCCTCAGTCGTTTGCAGTTTGCCTTCCTCACCTCCACCTTATGATGTCTCTCTCTTTAAGATGTGCCTCAGGGGGCAGCTAGGTGGCGAAGTGGACCAAGCACAGGCCCTGAAGTCAGGAGGACCTGAGTTCAAATTTGGCCTCAGACTAAACATTTGACACTGATCAGCTGCGTGACCCTGGGTAAGTCACTTAACCTCAAATGTCTTAAAAAAAAAAAGATGTGGCTCAGTCTCTTCTGCACAAAGACTTATGTGACCCCTCTTCGGATTACTAATCCTCTTCCTCTGCCCAAACGACTTCATAGTTAAGTGGCACGCTGTAGGCACTTAATAAATGCTTATTGATTGATTCAAAAATTGAGACAATTTGGAGGATTCTTGGAGGATTCTTATTTTCTGAATGTTAAGAGGGAAAAGACAACTTATAAGGGAAAAGGTATCAAGTTATGATGGAAGTAAAAGAGATGAACAACTGCTGAATTAGAACTGAGTGTGCATACTCGAAGGAATGGGCCTTCATTTGCCAGTCTTCCTCTCCCACCACCCCATCTTACACTAGTACTCTCCCATGCCTAGCACATAGTAGTATATGATTGTTGATTAACTGAGAAAATTCAGATAATTTGGAAGATTCTTGTTTTCTGAATAAGGAAGAAAAGACAGCTTGTAGGAGGGAAAGCAGTGAAATATACCAGAATTATTAACAATAAATGAACAATAAGAAGGAAGTTTTATATATATTATCTCATTTGACTCTCCAAATAACCTTGTAAGCTATAATAATAACAATAATAATAGTTAGGATTTAGATAGCATTTTAAGGTTTACCAAGCACTTTCCAAATATTATCTTACTTGTCTTCACAACAACTCTGGGAGGTAAGTGAGGAATCTATGGAATGTATTATAGATGAGGAAAGCTGAAGCTGAGACAGGTTAAGTGCTTTGCCCAGGGTCGCAGAACTAGTATCTGAAGCCAGATTTGAACGCAGGTCTTCCTGACTCCAGGTGCAAACTGGCAGTCATAAAAGTGAAGTGACTTGTCCAGGTAAAATGGCTTATAAGTTGTCAGGACAGTTCTCTAAATCATCCTACTCCTGCTGCAGACCTCCTCCCACTATTCAGTTTTAGTTGAAATGGTAAGATTGAGACACAGGAGCAGAATGACAGACACTAAGAGATGGAGGCAGAGAGTCTAATGGATAAAGCACTGACCTGGGTGTTATGGGAGTCCTGGTTCGAATTTTTGTTTCTGCCATTAACTGGTTATGTAACCTTAGGCAAGTGACTTAACTTATGTAAGTCACTTAACTCTTCTGGATCCCCTCTATGAAATCAGGGAATGTAGTAGATGACCTCTAAGGTTCCTGGCAAATCCAGTGGTCTTATGACCCATTGATCCTGTACCTGTGTTTTGAACACTTCAGTGAAATTCTTGTAGGCATCCGAAGATGTGTTTTCTAAGTCCTTTGTAAATTCCATATTAATCACAGACACATTCATTCCCAGGGTAGCATTGACCTCTTCTGGAGGAGTGCCTGGTGGAAATAGACTTGATTATGAGCATACAAATCATTCAGAATGAACCCTCTCTATCCCCCATACTTTGTGACCTTCCACCCTGTCCCTGAGGAATGTTCGGGTACCGTTCATCCCTTTTCACTCCCCTATACCCACCTCAGCTGTTGATGAAGCTATGCTCAGAGCCCTGAGACCCAGAGATGTTTGGCTTACCTATGGGAAGGCTGTCTGAAACCAATTCACACTTAGTGCCATAGAAGAGGACACTGCAGATGCATTTGGTTCCATCCCAGGTGCCCCCATTCTCGCACACAATGTCCTTCTCCTCACATTGCTCTCCATTGTAACCAGTGGGACAGATGCAAGAGTTTCCACTCCAACTACCTCCATTTAAGCATATCACTGAAAGAAGTAAGATACTCAATGCGGTATGGAGAGGGGGAGAAGTGGAGGAAAGAAAGTGGTAGGAGAACAAAGCAAAAGGTTTGGGAGAGAAAAAAATGAGTTTTTAGGGGAAGAGAAAAGTGAAGAGACCAGAGAAAGAGATGCAGACTGTGTGAGACTTCGACATGGAGAGAGAGTGTCAAAGATATTTTGCCTGGGCTCACTCCCATTTCCTTATACTCACTTTATACTTTCCCAGACCCCTAGCTATTGATGTACACATCACCATTTCCCCATCCCTTCAACCCCAGATGTGTCTGCTCCTTCCACTGTCCTGAAGAATGCTTCCTTCATAACTAATAAAGTTTCCTTAACCTTAAGTTTCTTCCTTTTTCAGTCGTCTCTTTTTCTGGACTTATGACACAACTTCCTCCTGATAACACCACTTTCCACCATTTCCAGTACTCACATAAAGAGTCCTCCTCATTTTCTTTCATTCATATCTATTCTCCCACTATCTCCCCCTTTACTCCAGTCTCAGATAAAGAGGTGGTCCTCTTTACCAGAATCAATCCTCTGTCCCCTCTCAACTTCTCTAGCAGATTAGCCCTATCTTCCTCCTCTTCCTCCTCCTCCTCCTTCTCTTCCTTCCTTCCCCCTCACCCCCATTCTTTTTCTCAAATCTCCAATGTCTCTTTCCTTGTTATCTTCAAACAGGCCTTTGTCTCCCTGATCCTTAAAAAACTCTCACTTGATCCTACCATTCCAACTAGGTATTGTCCTGTAATTTTTCTCCCCTTCATGACTAAGCTCTTGGAGCCTCTGCTTTCTCTTGTCTCATGCTCTGCAATCTAGCTTCTGACCTCATGATTCAACTGAAACCATCCTCTCCAGTGTTACCAGTATTCCCGCATATCTGATGGTCTTTTCTCAATCTTTATTTTGCTTAACTTTTTTGTAGCATTTGACACTGTTGGTCACTCTCTCCTGGGTTTTCATGATGCTGTTCTGTTAGACCACTGTTCAGTCTGATTTGCTGGCTCTTCTCAGGCTTCATCTTCATCAGTGTCAGGCTCACTAACATGAATGTCCCCCAAGACATTACACTAGGCTCTCATCTCTTTTCGCTTTACACCATTTTGATTTCATCAGCTCCGGTGTGTTCAAAAATTATTTCCATAGAGATGATTTGCAAATCTGTATAACCAACTGTACGGCCCCTCAGCTACATGCCTGTTTGACAGCTGCTTTTAGGACCTCTCAAATTACATGCCCCATAATTATCTCAAACTCAGTATTTCAACACAGAACTCATTATTGTTTCCCCAAAACTCTTCCCTTTTCTAAATGTCTGTACTACCATTGAGGCCCCACCATCTTCCCAGTCACTCAGGCTCAATATATCATCCTTGACTCTTGGCTATTGGTGCACCCACATAGCGAATCCCTGGCTAAATCTCGTTTCCCCCTTCACTTCATCTCTAACCTATGTCCTCTTCTCTCCACTCTTACGGTCACAACCCTAGTTGAGGCCTCATCACCTCATGCCTGGAATATTGCAATAGCCTTTTGACTGTTGTCCCTACCTCAAATTTCTCACCATCCCAATCCATTCTTCTCTCAGCTGCCAAGATGATTTTTCTAAAACACAGATCAGACCTTGTCACCCCTTACTCAGTGAGCTCATAACCTCGAGGATCAAATGTAACCTCTCTGTTTGGCATTTCAATCTCTCCATAAACCAGCTCCTTCTTGCCTTTACAGTCTTGTTACACTTACTGCCCTTCACGAATGACAAGATCCACTTATATTGCTGTTCCTGAAAGAGGACACTCCATGTCCCATATCCCTTTACACTGGCTGTCTGCCATGTCCTGAATGCTGTCCCCCTTCACCTCTGACTCTTAATTCCTCTGACTTCCTTGAAGACTCAGCTCAAATTCTCCTTTTTGCAGGAGGTATTTCCCAGTCCCAGAAGCGGCAAGTACAATCATCCTCTGCCAGATTGCCTGCTGTGAACTATGGCTATATCATATGTATACCTAGTTATATTCACATATTGTGTCCCGCATGAGAATGGAAGCTCCTCCAGAGCAGGGACTATTTTTCCCATTCTTTGTATGCCCCACATAGTGCCAAGGAGATAATAAGGGCTTAAGAATTTCTTGTTGACTGAGTGAAAGAGGTGGTGGAGAGGCAAATGAAGAGAAGGAAAAATTGGGAGGGAGAGGTGCAGTCCTTTGGCATCTGGACCAGGAAGAGACAAAAAGGAGGAAAGGACTCCATGAGGCCAGTTCATGCATAGTCACCTACGTTTTAGGAGACATTAAAGCATTAAAGTGCAAGCCTTTGTGGGAATGGAAGGTTGAACCATAACCACTTATGAAGAAATTTATGGAGTTTCATAGAAAAAAGCCAAGAGCAACAAAAAGGGATTGGAGAATAGGTGAATGTCAGGATCAATGGATATCTACAGGAGGGCATGCCAAGACTAAAGGGAAAAAATAGATAATAATGAGTGATATGTGATGGTTCTAAGGCAGTAATAGCGAGAGAGAGCTGGAAGGGAAATGAAGGTGGGAGAGGAGGTGGCTCTGCAAATGAAATTATAGCTCTAAAAAGAAAGAGGTAGACAGAAGGATGGCATTAATGAAAGAAAGGACAGAGGGAAAATAGAAACATAGAAGTCAAGGGTCCCAAAGAGGCACTTACATGGTGTGGTAGTTGATGGTGTGGTGACTGGAACAGTTGTGAAAGAAAGAGTGGTGAGAGATTTTGTGGTGGCAGCCAGTGTGGTCCCTCTAGTGGTGCTGCTTGGCCTAGTGGTACCCTTAGTTGTTGGGCCAGGTGAATCAGTGGTTGCTGTTGTCAGTGGGGAGGAAGTGAGAGCCAGGGTGGTCCAAAGGGTTGTGCTGTCCTGCTCAGAGTTACTCTGAGGTGTTGGGATGGTCTGAGTGTATCCAGGAAATGCAGTGGCTATTGCTGAGGTTCCTGGGAAACTCGTGACTGCTTCTGTTGTCCCTAGGGTGGAGGTGATAGCCTGGGTCTTCACTTTTGTAGTGTTGTCAGATTGGTTGGTACCCTGAGCTGTGGGGTTGGTGTAGGTGGAGCCAGGGGAAGGTGTGGCTGTTGCTGAGGTCCCTGGGGAAGTAGTAGTTACTGCAGTTGGCCCTTGGGTAATTGTGACAGCCTGGGTAATCACTGTTGTTCTTTTAGGCTCTCGTGTACTCTGAGCTCTGGTGCTGGAAGAGGTAGAGGCATGGGAAAATAGGGTTGTTGCTAAGGTCCCTGGGAAAGAAGTGATAAATCCTGTTCTCCCTTCAGTAGGGGTGATAGCCTGGGTGGTCAGAGTTGTGATCTGAGAGTTGGTTGTACTGTGAGCTGTGGGGCTGATTGAGGTTGAGCCAGGGGAGGATGTAGTTGTCCCCTGAGTAAGGGTGAGAGCCTGCGTAGTTTGAGTCACTGTGCTCTGAGATTCAGTGGTTCTCTTAGGTGTAGGGCTGGTCAAGGTGGAGCCATGGGAAGATGTGGTGGTTCCTGAGGTCCCTGGGGAAGTAGTGGTTACTGAAGCTATCCCTTGACTGATGGGTACAGCCTGGGTGGTCAGAGTCATTGAGTTGCCGGGCTCGATGGTACTCTGAGCTCTGAAGCTAGTTGAAGAGGAGCCAGGCTGAAGTTGTGGATATTGCTGATGCCCAAAGAGACAGAGTGGGAGGTACTGTTCTCACTGGTGAAGAGTGGACAGCCAGGGTTGTCAGAGTATTTGTGCTGTCAGGATCAGGGGTGCTGTGAGCTGTTGGCCTGCTAGAGGTGGTGGCAGGAAAAGATGGGGCTGTTGCTAACGTCCCTGGTAAACTAAAGAAAGCTGCTGTTGTCCCCTGCGCTAGGGGTGAGAGTCAGTGTGCTCACAGATATCAACCTGCCAGGGTCTGTGGTACTCTGAGGCGTGGGGCTACTGGAGTTGGAGCTAGAAGATGTGCCTCTGCTTAAGGGCCCTAGGGAAGTAGTGGCACCTGCTGTTGTCCCTGGACTAGAGGTGATAGCTTGAGTTCTCACAGTCGTGGGGCTGCCAGGCTGTAAGGTACTGTGAGGTGTAGGGCTGGTGGAGGTGGAGCCCTGTGAAGATGAGGCTCTGCTTGAGGTCCCTGAGGATGTCATGGCAGCTGGTGTTGTCCCTGGGCTAGAGGTGGTCGCTTGTGTTCTCAGAGTGCTCATGCTGCCAGTCTCTGTGTTACTCTGAGGTAGAGCGCTGGTGGGGATGGAGCCCTGGGAAAGTGTGGGGGTTCCTGTGGTCGCCAAGGAAGTAGTGGCACCTGCTGTTGTGCCTGGGCTAGAAGTGACAGCCTGTGTTCTTCCAGTTGTCATGCTGCCAAGCTCTGTGGTACTCTCAGGTGTGGGGTTGTTGGAAGTGGAGCTCTGGGAAGATGTGGTTGTTCCTGCGGTCCCTATGGAATTAGTGGCAGCAGCTGTTGTCCCTTGGCTATGAGTGGCAGTCACTGTGTACACAGTAGTCGTGCTGCCAGGCTCTGTGGTACTCTGAGGTGTAGGGCTGGAGGAGGTGGAGCCCTGGACAGATGTGGCTCTGTTTGAGGTCCCTGGGGATGTCGTGGCAGCTGCTGTTGTCCCTGGCGTAGTTGTGAGAGCCTCCGTGGTCAGAGTTGTAGTACTGTGAGAATAGCTGGTATTCTGAGAGGTAGAACTTCTGAAGGTGGAGCTAAGAGAAGATGTGGCTGTTCCTGAGGTCCCTGGGGCAGTATTGGCAGGTGGTGTTGTCCCTTGGCTAGGGGTGACAGTCAGCGTGCTCACAGTCGTCCTGCGGCCAGGCTCAGTGCTTCTCTGAGGTGTAGCGCTGCTGGCGGTGGAGCCCTGCTCAGGTGTAGGTGTTCCTGAGGTCCCTGGGGAAGTCGTGGCAGCTGCTGTTGTCCCTAGGGTAGGCGTGAGAGCCTCCGAGGTCAGAGTTGTAGTACTGTGAGAGTAGGTGGTATTCTGAGAGGTGGAGCTGCTAGCGGTGGAGGTACGAGAAGATGTGGCCGTCCCTGAGGTCCCTGCGGACGAAGAGGAAGCTGGTGTTGTCCCTGAGCTAGAGGTGACAGTCTGTGTTCTCACAGTCGTCGTGGTGCCAAGCTCTGTGGTACTCTGGGATGTGGTGCTCATGGAGGTGTAGCCTCGCGAAGATGTGAGTGTGGATAAAGTCCCTGGGAATGTAGTGGCAGCTCCTGTTGTCCCTTGGCTAGAGGTGAAAGTCAGTGTTCTCACAGATGTCCTGCCTGGCTCTGTGGTTGTGTTAGGTGTGGTGATAATGGAGGTGGAGCCCTGGGAAGATGTGGGTGTTCCCGAGGTCCCTGGGGAAGTCGTGGCAGCTGCTGTTGTCCCTGGACTAGAGGTGATAGCTTGAGTTCTCACAGTCGTGGGGCTGCCAGGCTGTAAGGTACTGTGAGGTGTAGGGCTGGTGGAGGTGGAGCCCTGTGAAGATGAGGCTCTGCTTGAGGTCCCTGAGGATGTCGTGGCAGCTGGTGTTGTCCCTTGGCTAGGGATGACAGTCAGTGTGCTCACAGTCATCGTGCTGCCAGGCTCTGTGGTACTCTCCAGTGTGGGGCTGATGGAGGTGGAACCCTGGGAAGATGTGGCTGTGGATGAAGTCCCTGGGGCTGCTGTCCCTGGGCTAGAAATGCTACCCTGTGTTCTCACAGTCGTCCAGCTGCCAGGCTCTGTGGTACTCTGAGGTGTAGGGCTGGGGGAGATGGAGCCCTGGGAGGATGTGGCTCTGCTTGAGGTCCCTGGGGAAGTAGTGGCAGCTGCTGTTGTCCCTGGACTAGAGGTGATGGGTTGAGTTCTCACAGTCGTGGTGCTGCCAGGCTGTAAGGTACTGTGAGGTGTAGGGCTGGTGGAAGTGGAGCCCTGTGAAGATGTGGCTCTGCTTGAGGTCCCTGGGAAGGTAGTGGCAGCTGCTGTTGTCCACAGGGTAGTTATGAGGGCCTCCGTGGTCAGACTTATAGTATTATGAGAATTAGTGGTACTCTGAGTGGTGGGACCCTGTAGGTGGAGCTAGAAGAAACTGTGGCTGTTCCTGAGTCCCTGTGGAAGTAGTGGCAGCTCCTGTTGTCCCTGGGCTAGAGGTGGTCGCTTGTGTTCTCAGAGTGCTCATGCTGCCAGTCTCTGTGTTACTCTGAGGTAGAGCGCTGGTGGGGATGGAGCCCTGGGAAAGTGTGGGGGTTCCTGTGGTCGCCAAGGAAGTAGTGGCACCTGCTGTTGTGCCTGGGCTAGAAGTGACAGCCTGTGTTCTTCCAGTAGTCATCTGCCAAGCTCTGTGGTACTCTCAGGTGTGGGGTTGTTGGAAGTGGAGCTCTGGGAAGATGTGGTTGTTCCTGCGTCCCTATGGAATTAGTGGCAGCAGCTGTTGTCCCTTGGCTATGAGTGACAGTCACTGTGGACACAGTAGTCGTGCTGCCAGGCTCTGTGGTACTCTGAGGTGTAGGGCTGGAGGAGGTGGAGCCCTGGACAGATGTGGCTCTGCTTGAGGTCCCTGGGGAAGTCGTGGGCAGCTGCTGTTGTCCCTGGCGTAGTTGTGAGAGCCTCCGTGGTCAGATTGTAGTACTGTGAGAATAGCTGGTATTCTGAGAGGTAGAACTTCTGAAGGTGGAGCTAAGAGAAGATGTGGCTGTTCCTGAGGTCCCTGGGGCAGTATTGGCAGGTGGTGTTGTCCCTTGGCTAGGGGTGACAGTCAGCGTGCTCACAGTCGTCCTGCGGCCAGGCTCAGTGGTTCTCTGAGGTGTAGCGCTGCTGGCGGTGGAGCCCTGCTCAGGTGTAGGTGTTCCTGAGGTCCCTGGGAAGTCGTGGCAGCTGCTGTTGTCCCTGGCGTAGTTGTGAGAGCCTCCGTGGTCAGAGTTGTAGTACTGTGAGAATAGCTGGTATTCTGAGAGGTAGAACTTCTGAAGGTGGAGCTAGAGAAGATGTGGCTGTTCCTGAGGTCCCTGGGCAGTATTGCAGGTGGTGTTGTCCCTTGGCTAGGGTGACAGTCAGCGTGCTCACAGTCGTCCTGCGCCAGGCTCAGTGTTCTCTGAGTGTAGCGCTGCTGGCGGTGGACCCTGCTCAGGTGTAGGTTTCCTGAGGTCCCTGGGGAAGTCGTGGCAGCTGCTGTTGTCCCTAGGGTAGGCGTGAGAGCTCCGAGTCAGAGTTGTAGTACTGTGAGAGTAGGTGGTATTCTGAGAGGTGGAGCTGCTAGCAGTGGAGGTACGAGAAGATGTGGCCGTCCCTGAGGTCCCTGCGGAGGAAGAGGAAGCTGGTGTTGTCCCTGAGCTAGAGGTGACAGTCTGTGTTCTCACAGTCGTCGTGGTGCCAAGCTCTGTGGTACTCTGGGATGTGGTGCTCATGGAGTGTAGCCTTGCGAAGATGTGACGGTGTAAAGTCCCTGGAATGTAGTGGCAGCTCCTGTTGTCCCTTGGCTAGAGGTGAAAGTCAGTGTTCTCACAGATGTCGCTGCCTGGCTCTGTGGTTGTGTTAGGTGTGGTGATAATGGAGGTGAGCCCTGGGAAGATGTGGGTGTTCCGAGGTCCCTGGGAAGTCGTGCAGCTCTGTTTCCCTGGACTAGAGGTGATAGCTTGAGTTCTCACAGTCGTGGGCTGCCAGGCTGTAAGGTACTGTGAGGTGTAGGGCTGGTGGAGGTGGAGCCCTGTAAGATGAGCTCTGCTTGAGGTCCCTGAGGATGTCGTGGCAGCTGGTGTTGTCCCTTGGCTAGGGATGACAGTCAGTGTGCTCACAGTCATCATGCTGCCAGGCTCTGTGGTACTCTCCAGTGTGGGGCTGATGGAGGTGGAACCCTGGGAAGATGTGGCTGTGGATGAAGTCCCTGGCGCTGTTGTCCCTGGGCTAGAAATGCTACCCTGTGTTCTCACAGTCGTCCAGCTGCCAGGCTCTGTGGTACTGTGAGGTGTAGGCTGGGGAGATGGAGCCCTGGAAGATGTGGCTCTGTTTGAGGTCCCTGGGGTAGTAGTGGCAGCTGCTGTTGTCCCTGGACTAGAGTGATGGGTTGAGTTCTCACAGTCGTGGTGCTGCCAGGCTGTAAGGTACTGTGAGGTGTAGGGCTGTGGAAGTGGAGCCCTGTGAAGATGTGGCTCTGCTTGAGGTCCCTGGGAAGGTAGTGGCAGCTGCTGTTGTCCACAGGGTAGTTATGAGAGCCTCCGAGGTCAGAGTTATAGTATTATGAGAATTAGTGGTTACTCTGAGTGGTGGGACCGCTGTAGTGGAGCTAGAAGAAACTGTGGCTGTTCCTGAGGTCCCTGTGGAAGAAGTGGCAGCACCTGTTGTCCCTGGGCTAGAGGTGGTCGCTTGTGTTCTCAGAGTGCTCATGCTGCCAGCTCTGTGTTACTCTGAGGTAGAGCACTGGTGGGATGGAGCCCTGGGAAAGTGTGGGTGTTCCTGTGGTCGCCAAAGAAGTAGTGGCACCTGCTGTTGTCCCTGGGCTAGAGTGACAGCCTGTGTCTTCCAGTGTCATGCTGCCAAGCTCTGTGGTACTCTCAGGTGGTGTGTGGGAAGTGGAGCTCTGGGAAGATGTGGTTGTTCCTGGTCCCTATGGAATTAGTGTGGCAGCTGTTGTCCCTGGCTATGAGTGCAGCCTGTGTACCAGTAGTCGTGCTGCCAGCTCTGTGGTACTCTGAGGTGTGGGTTGTTGGAAGTGGAGCTCTGGGAAGATGTGGTTTTCCTGCGGTCCCTATGGAATTAGTTGGCAGCAGCTGTTGTCCCTGCTATGAGTGACAGTCACTGTGACACAGTAGTCGTGCTACCAGGCTCTGTGGTACTCTGAGGTGTAGGGCTGGAGAGGTGGAGCCCTGGACAGATGTGGCTCTGCTTGAGGTCCCTGGGGATGTCGTGGCAGCTGCTGTCGTCCCTGGTGTAGTTGTGAGAGCCTCCGTGGTCAGAGTTGTAGTACTGTGAGAATAGCTGGTATTCTGAGAGGTAGAACTTCTGAAGGTGGAAGCTAAGAGAAGATGTGCTGTTCCTGAGGTCCCTGGGCAGTATTGGCAGGTGGTGTTGTCCCTTGGCTAGGGGTGACAGTCAGCGTGCTCACAGTCGTCCTGCGGCCAGGCTCAGTGGTTCTCTGAGGTGTAGCGCTGCTGGCGGTGGAGCCCTGCTCAGGTGTAGGTGTTCCTGAGGTCCCTGGGGAAGTCGTGGCAGCTGCTGTTGTCCCTAGGGTAGGCGTGAGAGCCTCCGAGGTCAGAGTTGTGTACTGTGAGAGTAGGTGGTATTCTGAGAGGTGGAGCTGCTAGCAGTGGAGGTACGAGAAGATGTTGGCCGTCCCCTGAGGTCCCTGCGGAGGAAGAGGAAGCTGGTTTGTCCCTGAGCTAGAGGTGACAGTCTGTGTTCTCACAGTCGTCGTGGTGCCAAGCTCTGTGGTACTCTGGGATGTGGTGCTCATGGAGGTGTAGCCTTGCGAAGATGTGACGGTGGATAAAGTCCCTGGGAATGTAGTGGCAGCTCCTGTTGTCCCTTGGCTAGAGGTGAAAGTCAGTGTTCTCACAGATGTTGTGCTGCCTGCTCTGTGAGTTGTTGTTTAGGTGTGGTGATAATGGAGGTGGAGCCCTGGGAAGATGTGGGTGTTCCGAGGTCCCTGGGAAGTCGTCGGGCAGCTGCTGTTGTCCCTGGACTAGAGGTGATGGGTTGAGTTCTCACAGTCGTGGGGCTGCCAGGCTGTAAGGTACTGTGAGGTGTAGGGCTGGTGGAGGTGGAGCCCTGTGAAGATGAGGCTCTGCTTGAGGTCCCTGAGGATGTCGTGGCAGCTGGTGTTGTCCCTTGGCTAGGGATGACAGTCAGTGTGCTCACAGTCATCGTGCTGCCAGGCTCTGTGGTACTCTCCAGTGTGGGGCTGATGGAGGTGGAACCCTGCGAAGATGTGGCTGTGGATGAAGTCCCTGGCGCTGTTGTCCCTGGGCTAGAAATGCTACCCTGTGTTCTCACAGTCGTCCAGCTGCCAGGCTCTGTGGTACTGTGAGGTGTAGGACTGGGGGAGATGGAGCCCTGGGAGGATGTGGCTCTGTTTGAGGTCCCTGGGGAAGTAGTGGCAGCTGCTGTTGTCCCTGGCGTAGTTGTGAGAGCCTCCGTGGTCAGAGTTGTAGTACTGTGAGAATAGCTGGTATTCTGAGAGGTAGAACTTCTGAAGGTGGAGCTAAGAGAAGATGTGGCTGTTCCTGAGGTCCCTGGGGCAGTATTGGCAGGTGGTGTTGTCCCTTGGCTAGGGGTGACAGTCAGCGTGCTCACAGTCGTCCTGCGGCCAGGCTCAGTGGTTCTCTGAGGTGTAGCGCTGCTGGCGGTGGAGCCCTGCTCAGGTGTAGGTGTTCCTGAGGTCCCTGGGGAAGTCGTGGCAGCTGCTGTTGTCCCTGGACTAGAGGTGATGGGTTGAGTTCTCACAGTCGTGGTGCTGCCAGGCTGTAAGGTACTGTGAGGTGTAGGGCTGGTGGAAGTGGAGCCCTGTGGAGATGTGGCTCTGCTTGAGGTCCCTGGAATGTAGTGGCAGCTGCTGTTGTCCACAGGGTAGTTATAAGAGCCTCCGTGCGTCAGAGTTATAGTATTATGAGAATTAGTGGTACTCTGAGTGGTGGGACCGCTGTAGGTGGAGCTAGAAGAAACTGTGGCTGTTCCTGAGGTCCCTGTGGAAGTAGTGGCAGCTCCTGTTGTCCCTGGGCTAGAGGTGGTCGCTTGTGTTCTCAGAGTGCTCATGCTGCCAGTCTCTGTGTTACTCTGAGGTAGAGCGCTGGTGGGGATGGAGCCCTGGGAAAGTGTGGGTGTTCCTGTGGTCGCCAAGGAAGTAGTGGCACCTGCTGTTGTGCCTGGGCTAGAAGTGACAGCCTGTGTTCTTCCAGTTGTCATGCTGCCAAGCTCTGTGGTACTCTCAGGTGTGGGGTTGTAGGAAGTGGAGCTCTGGAAGATGTGGTTGTTCCTGCGGTCCCTATGGAATTAGTTGGCAGCAGCTGTTGTCCCTTGGCTATGAGTGGCAGTCACTGTGTACACAGTAGTCGTGCGGCCAGGCTCTGTGGTACTCTGAGGTGTTCGGTTGTTGGAAGTGGAGCTCTGGGAAGATGTGGTTGTTCCTGCGGTCCCTATGGAATTAGTTGCAGCAGCTGTTGTCCCTTGGCTATGAGTGACAGTCACTTCGGACAGAGTAGTCTTGCTGCCAGGCTCTCTGGACTCTGAGGTGTAGGGCTGGAGGAGGTGGAGCCCTGGACAGATGTGGCTGTGCTTGAGGTCCCTGGGGAAGTCGTGGCAGCTGCTGTTGTCCCTGGCGTAGTTGTGAGAGCCTCCGTGGTCAGAGTTGTAGTACTGTGAGAATAGCTGGTATTCTGAGAGGTAGAACTTCTGAAGGTGGAGCTAAGAGAAGATGTTGGCTGTTCGGAGGTCCCTTGGGGCAGTATTGGCAGGTAGGTGTTGTCCCTTGGCTTGGGGTGACAGTCAGCGTGCTCACAGTCGTCCTGCGGCCAGGCTGAGTGGTTCTCTGAGGTGTAGCGCTGCTGGCGGTGGAGCCCTGCTCAGGTGTATGTGTTCCTGAGTCCCTGGGGAAGTCGTGGCAGCTGCTGTTGTCCCTAGGGTAGTCATGAGCGCCTCCGAGGTCAGAGTTGTAGTTACTGTGAGAGTAGGTGGTATTCTGAGAGGTGGAGCTGCTAGCGGTGGAGGTACGAGAAGATGTGGCGTCCCTGAGGTCCCTGCGGAGGAAGAGGAAGCTGGTGTTGTCCCTGAGCTAGAGGTGACACTCTGTGTTCTCACAGTCGTCGTGGTGCCAAGCTCTGTGGTACTCTGGGATGTGGTGCTCATGGAGGAGTAGCCTTGCGAAGATGTGACTGTGGATAAAGTCCCTGGAATGTAGTGGCAGCTCCTGTTGTCCCTGGACTAGAGGTGATAGCTTGAAGTTCTCACAGTCGTGGGGCTGCCAGGCTGTAGGTTACTGTGAGGTGTAGGGCTGTGGAGGTGGAGCCCTGTGAAGATTGTGGCTCTGCTGAGGTCCCTGAGGATGTCGTGGCAGCTGGTGTTGTCCTTGGCTAGGGATGACAGTCAGTGTGCTCACAGTCATCATGCTGCCAGGCTCTGTAGTACTCTCCAGTGTGGGGCTGATGGAGGTGGAACCCTGGAAAGATGTGGCTGTGGATGAAGTCCCTGGGGCTGCTGTCCCTGGGCTAGAAATGCTACCCTGTGTTCTCACAGTCGTCCAGCTGCCAGGCTCTGTGGTACTCTGAGGTGTAGGGCTGGGGGAGATGGAGCCCTGGAAGGATGTGGCTCTGCTTGAGGTCCCTGGGGAAGTAGTGGCAGCTGCTGTTGTCCCTGGACTAGATGGTGATGGGTTGAGTTCTCACAGTCGTGGTGCTGCCAGGCTGTAAGGTACTGTGAGGTGTAGGGCTGGTGGAAGTGGAGCCCTGTGGAGATGTGGCTCTGCTTGAGGTCCCTGGGAAGGTAGTGGCAGCTGCTGTTGTCCACAGGGTAGTTATAAGAGCCTCCGTGGTCAGAGTTATAGTATTATGAGAATTAGTGGTACTCTGAGTGGTGGGACCGCTGTAGGTGGAGCTAGAAGAAACTGTGGCTGTTCCTGAGGTCCCTGTGGAAGTAGTGGCAGCTCCTGTTGTCCCTGGGCTAGAGGTGGTCGCTTGTGTTCTCAGAGTGCTCATGCTGCCAGTCTCTGTGTTACTCTGAGGTAGAGCGCTGGTGGGGATGGAGCCCTGGGAAAGTGTGGGTGTTCCTGTAGTCGCCAAGGAAGTAGTGGCACCTGCTGTTGTCCCTGGGCTAGAAGTGACAGCCTGTGTTCTTCCAGTAGTCATGCTGCCAAGCTCTGTGGTACTCTCAGGTGTGGGGTTGTTGGAAGTGGAGCTCTGGGAAGATGTGGTTGTTCCTGCGGTCCCTATGGAATTAGTTGCAGCAGCTGTTGTCCCTTGGCTATGAGTGGCAGTCACTTCGGACACAGTAGTCGTGCTGCCAGGCTCTGTGGTACTCTGAGGTGTAGGGCTGGAGGAGGTGGAGCCCTGGACAGATTTGGCTCTGCTTGAGGTCCCTTGGGAAGTCGTGGCAGCTGCTGTTGTCCCTGGCGTAGTTGTGAGAGCCTCCGTGGTCAGAGTTGTAGTACTGTGAGAATAGCTGGTATTCTGAGAGGTAGAACTTCTGAAGGTGGAGCTAAGAGAAGATGTGGCTGTTCCTGAGGTCCCTGGGGCAGTATTGGCAGGTGGTGTTGTCCCTTGGCTAGGGGTGACAGTCAGCGTGCTCACAGTCGTCCTGCGGCCAGGCTCAGTGGTTCTCTGAGGTGTAGCGCTGCTGGCGGTGGAGCCCTGCTCAGGTGTAGGTGTTCCTGAGGTCCCTGGGGAAGTCGTGGCAGCTGCTGTTGTCCCTAGGGTAGGCATGAGAGCCTCCAAGGTCAGAGTTGTACTACTGTGAGAGTAGGTGGTATTCTGAGAGGTGGAGCTGCTAGCGGTGGAGGTACGAGAAGATGTGGCCGTCCCTGAGGTCCCTGCGGAGGAAGAGGAAGCTGGTGTTGTCCCTGAGCTAGAGGTGACAGTCTGTGTTCTCACAGTCTTCGTGGTGCCAAGCTCTGTGGTACTCTCGGATGTGGTGCTCATGGAGGAGTAGCCTTGCGAAGATGTGACTGTGGATAAAGTCCCTGGGAATGTAGTGGCAGCTCCTGTTGTCCCTGGACTAGAGGTGATAGCTTGAGTTCTCACAGTCGTGGGGCTGCCAGGCTGTAAGGTACTGTGAGGTGTAGGGCTGGTGGAGGTGGAGCCCTGTGAAGATGAGGCTCTGCTTGAGGTCCCTGAGGATGTCGTGGCAGCTGGTGTTGTCCCTTGGCTAGGGATGACAGTCAGTGTGCTCACAGTCATCGTGCTGCCAGGCTCTGTGGTACTCTCCAGTGTGGGGCTGATGGAGGTGGAACCCTGGGAAGATGTGGCTGTGGATGAAGTCCCTGGGGCTGCTGTCCCTGAGCTAGAAATGCTACCCTGTGTTCTCACAGTCGTCCAGCTGCCAGGCTCTGTGGTACTCTGAGGTGTAGGGCTGGGGGAGATGGAGCCCTGCTCAGGTGTAGGTGTTCCTGAGGTCCCTGGGGAAGTCGTGGCAGCTGCTGTTGTCCCTAGGGTAGGCATGAGAGCTTCTGCAAGGTCAGAGTTGTAGTACTGTGAGAGTAGGTGGTATTCTGAGAGGTGGAGCTGCTAGCGGTGGAGGTACGAGAAGATGTGGCCGTCCCTGAGGTCCCTGCGGACGAAGAGGAAGCTGGTGTTGTCCCTGAGCTAGAGGTGACAGTCTGTGTTCTCACAGTCGTCGTGGTGCCAAGCTCTGTGGTACTCTGGGATGTGGTGCTCATGGAGGTGTAGCCTCGCGAAGATGTGAGTGTGGATAAAGTCCCTGGGAATGTAGTGGCAGCTCCTGTTGTCCCTTGGCTAGAGGTGAAAGTCAGTGTTCTCACAGATGTTGTGCTGCCTGGCTCTGTGGTTGTGTTAGGTGTGGTGATAATGGAGGTGGAGCCCTGGGAAGATGTGGGTGTTCCCGAGGTCCCTGGGGAAGTCGTGGCAGCTGCTGTTGTCCCTGGACTAGAGGTGATAGCTTGAGTTCTCACAGTCGTGGGGCTGCCAGGCTGTAAGGTACTGTGAGGTGTAGGGCTGGTGGAGGTGGAGCCCTGTGAAGATGAGGCTCTGCTTGAGGTCCCTGAGGATGTCGTGGCAGCTGGTGTTGTCCCTTGGCTAGGGATGACAGTCAGTGTGCTCACAGTCATCGTGCTGCCAGGCTCTGTGGTACTCTCCAGTGTGGGGCTGATGGAGGTGGAACCCTGGGAAGATGTGGCTGTGGATGAAGTCCCTGGGGCTGCTGTCCCTGGGCTAGAAATGCTACCCTGTGTTCTCACAGTCGTCCAGCTGCCAGGCTCTGTGGTACTCTGAGGTGTAGGGCTGGGGGAGATGGAGCCCTGGGAGGATGTGGCTCTGCTTGAGGTCCCTGGGGAAGTAGTGGCAGCTGCTGTTGTCCCTGGACTAGAGGTGATGGGTTGAGTTCTCACAGTCGTGGTGCTGCCAGGCTGTAAGGTACTGTGAGGTGTAGGGCTGGTGGAAGTGGAGCCCTGTGAAGATGTGGCTCTGCTTGAGGTCCCTGGGAAGGTAGTGGCAGCTGCTGTTGTCCACAGGGTAGTTATGAGAGCCTCCGTGGTCAGAGTTATAGTATTATGAGAATTAGTGGTACTCTGAGTGGTGGGACCGCCGTAGGTGGAGCTAGAAGAAACTGTGGCTGTTCCTGAGGTCCCTGTGGAAGTAGTGGCAGCTCCTGTTGTCCCTGGGCTAGAGGTGGTCGCTTGTGTTCTCAGAGTGCTCATGCTGCCAGTGTCTGTGTTACTCTGAGGTAGAGCGCTGGTGGGGATGGAGCCCTGGGAAAGTGTGGGTGTTCCTGTGGTCGCCAAGGAAGTAGTGGCACCTGCTGTTGTCCCTGGGCTAGAAGTGACAGCCTGTGTTCTTCCAGTTGTCATGCTGCCAAGCTGTGTGGTACTCTCAGGTGTGGGGTTGTTGGAAGTGGAGCTCTGGGAAGATGTGGTTGTTCCTGCGGTCCCTATGGAATTAGTGGCAGCAGCTGTTGTCCCTTGGCTATGAGTGGCAGTCACTGTGGACACAGTAGTCGTGCTGCCAGGCTCTGTGGTACTCTGAGGTGTAGGGCTGGAGGAGGTGGAGCCCTGGACAGATGTGGCTCTGTTTGAGGTCCCTGGGGATGTCGTGGCAGCTGCTGTTGTCCCTGGCGTAGTTGTGAGAGCCTCCGTGGTCAGAGTTGTAGTACTGTGAGAATAGCTGGTATTCTGAGAGGTAGAACTTCTGAAGGTGGAGCTAAGAGAAGATGTGGCTGTTCCTGAGGTCCCTGGGGCAGTATTGGCAGGTGGTGTTGTCCCTTGGCTAGGGGTGACAGTCAGCGTGCTCACAGTCGTCCTGCGGCCAGGCTCAGTGCTTCTCTGAGGTGTAGCGCTGCTGGCGGTGGAGCCCTGCTCAGGTGTAGGTGTTCCTGAGGTCCCTGGGGAAGTCGTGGCAGCTGCTGTTGTCCCTAGGGTAGGCGTGAGAGCCTCCGAGGTCAGAGTTGTAGTACTGTGAGAGTAGGTGGTATTCTGAGAGGTGGAGCTGCTAGCAGTGGAGGTACGAGAAGATGTGGCCGTCCCTGAGGTCCCTGCGGAGGAAGAGGAAGCTGGTGTGGTCCCTGAGCTAGAGGTGACAGTCTGTGTTCTCACAGTCGTCGTGGTGCCAAGCTCTGTGGTACTCTGGGATGTGGTGCTCATGGAGGTGTAGCCTCGCGAAGATGTGAGTGTGGATAAAGTCCCTGGGAATGTAGTGGCAGCTCCTGTTGTCCCTTGGCTAGAGGTGAAAGTCAGTGTTCTCACAGATGTTGTGCTGCCTGGCTCTGTGGTTGTGTTAGGTGTGGTGATAATGGAGGTGGAGCCCTGGGAAGATGTGGGTGTTCCCGAGGTCCCTGGGGAAGTCGTGGCAGCTGCTGTTGTCCCTGGACTAGAGGTGATGGGTTGAGTTCTCACAGTCGTGGGGCTGCCAGGCTGTAAGGTACTGTGAGGTGTAGGGCTGGTGGAAGTGGAGCCCTGTGAAGATGTGGCTCTGCTTGAGGTCCCTGGGAAGGTAGTGGCAGCTGCTGTTGTCCACAGGGTAGTTATGAGAGCCTCCGTGGTCAGACTTATAGTATTATGAGAATTAGTGGTACTCTGAGTGGTGGGACCGCTGTAGGTGGAGCTAGAAGAAACTGTGGCTGTTTCCTGAGGTCCCTGTGGAAGTAGTGGCAGCTCCTGTTGTCCTGGGCTAGAGGTGGTCGCTTGTGTTCTCAGAGTGCTCATGCTGCCAGTCTCTGTGTTACTCTGAGGTAGAGCGCTGGTGGGGATGGAGCCCTGGAAAGTGTGGGGGTTCCTGTGGTCGCCATGGAAGTAGTGGCAGCTGCTGTGTGCCTGGGCTAGAAGTGACAGCCTGTGTTCTTCCAGTTGTCATGCTGCAAGCTCTGTGGTACTCTCAGGTGTGGGGTTGTTGGAAGTGGAGCTCTGGGAAGATGTGGTTGTTCCTGCGGTCCCTATGGAATTAGTGGCAGCAGCTGTTGTCCCTTGGCTATGAGTGACAGTCACTGTGGACACAGTAGTCGTGCTACCAGGCTCTGTGGTACTCTGAGGTGTAGGGCTGGAGGAGGTGGAGCCCTGGACAGATGTGGCTCTGCTTGAGGTCCCTGGGGAAGTCGTGGCAGCTGCTGTCGTCCCTGGGGTAGTTGTGAGAGCCTCCGTGGTCAGAGTTGTAGTACTGTGAGAATAGCTGGTATTCTGAGAGGTAGAACTTCTGAAGGTGGAGCTAAGAGAAGATGTGGCTGTTCCTGAGGTCCCTGGGGCAGTATTGGCAGGTGGTGTTGTCCCTTGGCTAGGGGTGACAGTCAGCGTGCTCACAGTCGTCCTGCGGCCAGGCTCAGTGGTTCTCTGAGGTGTAGCGCTGCTGGCGGTGGAGCCCTGCTCAGGTGTAGGTGTTCCTGAGGTCCCTGGGGAAGTCGTGGCAGCTGCTGTTGTCCCTAGGGTAGGCGTGAGAGCCTCCGAGGTCAGAGTTGTAGTACTGTGAGAGTAGGTGGTATTCTGAGAGGTGGAGCTGCTAGCAGTGGAGGTACGAGAAGATGTGGCCGTCCCTGAGGTCCCTGCGGAGGAAGAGGAAGCTGGTGTTGTCCCTGAGCTAGAGGTGACAGTCTGTGTTCTCACAGTCGTCGTGGTGCCAAGCTCTGTGGTACTCTGGGATGTGGTGCTCATGGAGGTGTAGCCTTGCGAAGATGTGACTGTGGATAAAGTCCCTGGGAATGTAGTGGCAGCTCCTGTTGTCCCTTGGCTAGAGGTGAAAGTCAGTGTTCTCACAGATGTTGTGCTGCCTGGCTCTGTGGTTGTGTTAGGTGTGGTGATAATGGAGGTGGAGCCCTGGGAAGATGTGGGTGTTCCCGAGGTCCCTGGGGAAGTCGTGGCAGCTGCTGTTGTCCCTGGACTAGAGGTGATGGGTTGAGTTCTCACAGTCGTGGGGCTGCCAGGCTGTAAGGTACTGTGAGGTGTAGGGTTGGTGGAGGTGAGCCCTGTGAAGATGAGGCTCTGCTTGAGGTCCCTGAGGATGTCGTGGCAGCTGGTGTTGTCCCTTGGCTAGGGATGACAGTCAGTGTGCTCACAGTCATCGTGCTGCCAGGCTCTGTGGTACTCTCCAGTGTGGGGCTGATGGAGGTGGAACCCTGCGAAGATGTGGCTGTGGATGAAGTCCCTGGCGCTGTTGTCCCTGGGCTAGAAATGCTACCCTGTGTTCTCACAGTCGTCCAGCTGCCAGGCTCTGTGGTACTGTGAGGTGTAGGACTGGGGGAGATGGAGCCCTGGGAGGATGTGGCTCTGTTTGAGGTCCCTGGGGAAGTAGTGGCAGCTGCTGTTGTCCCTGGCGTAGTTGTGAGAGCCTCCGTGGTCAGAGTTGTAGTACTGTGAGAATAGCTGGTATTCTGAGAGGTAGAACTTCTGAAGGTGGAGCTAAGAGAAGATGTGGCTGTTCCTGAGGTCCCTGGGGCAGTATTGGCAGGTGGTGTTGTCCCTTGGCTAGGGGTGACAGTCAGCGTGCTCACAGTCGTCCTGCGGCCAGGCTCAGTGGTTCTCTGAGGTGTAGCGCTGCTGGCGGTGGAGCCCTGCTCAGGTGTAGGTGTTCCTGAGGTCCCTGGGGAAGTCGTGGCAGCTGCTGTTGTCCCTGGACTAGAGGTGATGGGTTGAGTTCTCACAGTCGTGGTGCTGCCAGGCTGTAAGGTACTGTGAGGTGTAGGGCTGGTGGAAGTGGAGCCCTGTGGAGATGTGGCTCTGCTTGAGGTCCCTGGGAATGTAGTGGCAGCTGCTGTTGTCCACAGGGTAGTTATAAGAGCCTCCGTGGTCAGAGTTATAGTATTATGAGAATTAGTGGTACTCTGAGTGGTGGGACCGCTGTAGGTGGAGCTAGAAGAAACTGTGGCTGTTCCTGAGGTCCCTGTGGAAGTAGTGGCAGCTCCTGTTCTCCCTGGGCTAGAGGTGGTCGCTTGTGTTCTCAGAGTGCTCATGCTGCCAGTCTCTGTGTTACTCTGAGGTAGAGCGCTGGTGGGGATGGAGCCCTGGGAAAGTGTGGGTGTTCCTGTGGTCGCCAAGGAAGTAGTGGCACCTGCTGTTGTGCCTGGGCTAGAAGTGACAGCCTGTGTTCTTCCAGTTGTCATGCTGCCAAGCTCTGTGGTACTCTCAGGTGTGTGGTTGTAGGAAGTGGAGCTCTGGGAAGATGTGGTTGTTCCTGCGGTCCCTATGGAATTAGTTGCAGCAGCTGTTGTCCCTTGGCTATGAGTGGCAGTCACTGTGTACACAGTAGTCGTGCGGCCAGGCTCTGTGGTACTCTGAGGTGTTCGGTTGTTGGAAGTGGAGCTCTGGGAAGATGTGGTTGTTCCTGCGGTCCCTATGGAATTAGTTGCAGCAGCTGTTGTCCCTTGGCTATGAGTGGCAGTCACTTCGGACACAGTAGTCTTGCTGCCAGGCTCTGTGGTACTCTGAGGTGTAGGGCTGGAGGAGGTGGAGCCCTGGACAGATGTGGCTGTGCTTGAGGTCCCTGGGGAAGTCGTGGCAGCTGCTGTTGTCCCTGGCGTAGTTGTGAGAGCCTCCGTGGTCAGAGTTGTAGTACTGTGAGAATAGCTGGTATTCTGAGAGTAGAACTTCTGAGGTGGAGCTGAGAAGATGTGGCTGCTTGAGGTCCCTGGGGCAGTATTGGCAGCTGGTGTTGTCCCTTGGCTAGGGGTGACAGTCAGCGTGCTCACAGTCATCTGCTGCCAGGCTCTGTGTTCTCCAGTGTGGGCTGATGGAGGTGGAACCCTGGAAGATGTGGCTGTGGATGAA